TGTCGCTTAACAAACAAGGATTTTATTACAAAAGTGAATGGAATATTTACAAAGAATTAAAAAGCAATACTATATACAAAAACAAAAGGAGCTATATTTAAAAGGGGGATAACGAAAAGCCCTCACCCAGAAGGGGAAGGGGAGAAAACCGAGAATTATATATATATATATATATATATATATATATATATATATATATATATATATATATATATATATATATATATATTTCCAAAAGGGGAGATCCTAATAAGTCCAAATGCCGGTCCGAAGTCAAATTACCAAATAGTCAAATCCTATATCCTAATCCAAAATCTAAGCGAGCGAGCGAACAGAGTTTTATCAACGGATGCGACTGAGGAGAAGAGAGCAGAATAAACTGTTGCCAGTCTACTCTACCCTTGGACCTTCTCAATGACCTGGTAGCTGGAAGCAGCTTTTACCAGCTGCTCCCTGATTACTGATTCTCAACAGCTGGGACTGGGGGACAAGCGAGGCAGAAGGCCACTGGGGCCATCTTGTGGCCGAACAGAGGCACGGCACATAACACCCTCATTAACACGTTCTCACGATCGCTGTGTCTCAGATTTCAGATTCAGATTTCAGATTTATTGGCCAAGTAAAATTACATTTACAAGGAATTTGTCTTCGGTAGATGTTCGCTCTCTAAAACATACAACAACCATAATAAATGAGAATAAAAATACCTAAAAACACATAAGAACATGTATACCCACACACATGTTCATTTACGCACACACCTATATACATACCCACACACACACGCACGCACGCGCGCACACACACACATATCCATAAGCATACTGATTAAGTATTAAAAACTATAGTAAAAGGAAGGTAAAATAATCTACAGATTCAGGAGAGAAATGGCTGAAGGAAAGAAACTGTTCTTGTGTCTGGTGGTTTTTGTGTACAGTGATCTATAGCGTCTGCCAGATGGGAGGAGATGGAAGAGAGTAGATGCAGGATGTGTGGCATCTTGGACAATATTCACTGCCTTTTTCCTGGTCCTGCTGATGTACAGTTCCTGGACAGAGGGCAGTTGGGCACCAATGATTTTTCCTGCTGTTTTAATAATACGCTGTAGTCTGCATTTGTCCATTTTTGTGGCTGACCCAAACCAGACAGTGATGGATGAGCAAAGTATGGATTCGACTGCAGCAGTGTAGAAGATGATCAGCAGCTCTTGTGGTAGGCCGTACTTCCTTAGTTGCCGTAAGAAATACATCCTCTGCTGAGCCTTTTTGAGGATGGAGTTGATGTTTGTTTCCCACTTCAGATCCCTGGAAATGATAGTTCCCAAGAACTTGAATGAGTCCACCATTGACACTGGGCTGTTGGATATTGTGAGGGGGGGCAGCACTGTGGGAAGCTTCCTAAAATCCACAACCATCTCCACAGTCTTAAGGGTGTTAAGCTCAAGATTGTGCTGACTACACCAGACCACCAGCCTCTCAACTTCTCGCTGATAAGCAGACTCATCACCATCCTGGATGAGCCCAATGACAGTGGTGTCATCTGCAAATTTCAGGATTTTTACAGCTGAGTCATTAGAGGTGCAGTCATTGGTGTACAATGAAAAGAGCAGTGGAGAAAGGACACACCCCTGTGGTGTACCGGTGCTGATCAGCCTTGTGCCAGATGTAACATTGTTCAACCGCACATGCTGGCTCCTATTTGTCAGGAAGCTGGAAATCCACTGACACATAGCAGGGGAAACAGTGAGCTGAGAATGCTTTGAGGTGAGGATTTCTGGTATAACGGTGTTAAAAGCAGAGCTAAAATCCACAAACAATATCCTTGCGTAGGTCCTTGGTTGATCAAAATGTTTCAGGATGAAGTGCAGCCCCATGTTAATTGCATCATCCACTGACCTGTTTGCCCTATATGCAAACTGCAGGGGATCCAGCTGGTGGCCTGTGGTGCTTTTAAGATGGGACAGCACCAAGCGCTCAAAGGACTTCATGACTACTGATGTCAAAGCCACGGGTCTGTAGTCATTCAATTCTGTAGGGGAGGATTTCTTTGGTACTGGGATGATAGTTGAGCTTTTGAAGCATGATGGAACCTCACACAGCTCCAGCGATCTGTTGAATATCGTTGTGAAGACAGGTGCTAGTTGGACAGCACAGGTCCTTAGGCAGGAAGGAGTTACTCCATCTGGGCCTGGTGCCTTCCATACTTTCTGTCTCCTAAAGATGTTGCAGACATCCTCTTCCTTCACAAGGAACGCAGCTTGTGATTTAGAGGAAAGAGGAGTAAGAGTGTCCAGGTGAGGGGTGGCGGCTGCCGCTATGCTGGAGTGGAGGAGGGGTGTGACATTCCTTTCCTCAAAGCGACAATAAAAGCCATTTAGCTCCTCAGCAAGGCCATGATTAGCATCAGAAATGGAGGATGGTCTCCTGTAGTTGGTAATTTGCTGAATGTTTCTCCATAATAATGTGGGGTTGTTGGCTGTAAACTGGTTTTTCAGCTTTGCTGCATACTTAATTTTAGCAGCTCTGATCTCCTTGTTCAACGTGTTCCTGAGTGATTTGTACAGGGGCCTGTCTCCTGCCCTATAAAGCCGGGCGTACACTGTGCGACTTTTTCACTCGCAGCGTTCAGCTTCAGCTCAAACTGCACGACTTCCTCGCAGAGCAGATCTCACGAGTCATGTGCTCACACTGTACGACCCAGTTCTCGCATGCGACCTGACTGCTCACACTGTACGTCTGGTAGCAACACGTCGGCCCTAAAAATGTGCTAAAAATAGCAGTTTTTACTCAACACGTCAGACTTTTTTGTCTTGCCTGTTGTCCTTCGGGAGTGCTGCAGGAGGACACACAGGGATTTATGGGGGTTGGATGAGGAAAACGAAATAAAGAAAGTGAATCTGTGTTTTGTGATCAGTTTAATTTGACATGAACACGACAAACACGCTTTCTTGACAATCTTTGTGAGTAAAAAAACGTGTAGAAACAAAAACGAACAGCGTGTGTTATTAGGGAAATAGCGAGCGACCGGCCGGCGTTGATGCAGGATTGCGCGCGCATGCGCCGTGAGCGGTTCTGATACTTTTTGGATCGTAGCTGCTCGCAGCGCCGCTTCAACAGTGCGATACCCTCACGAGGGACGAGCGAAATATTAAACACACCAGAAGTCCCTGCGACCTCACGACTGCTGATCGGCAGCTGGTCACGTGGTGTTAATCGCCTCTCGTAACCCCCTGTACACTACACGACCGCTCGGCGCAAAACTCGCCCCGATGTCGTGGCTTCTCGCACGACTGGAAAATCGGCTCAAAAAAGTGAAAAAGTCGCACAGTGTACGCCCGGCTTAAGCCTGCTCCTTTGCCCGTCTCAACTGGCTCAGAGTTGCTGTAAACCATGGCTTGTTGTTATTAAAGGTGCGAAAAGTCTTTGTTGGCACACACACTTCCTCACAGAAGGTGATGTAGGATGTCACAGTGTCTGTTAGCTCGTTCAGATCACCTGTGGCATCTGCAAATACTCTCCAGTCCGTACAATCAAAACAGTCCTGTAACTCCTCTTTTGCTTCATTTGTCCATTTCTTCACTGTCCTGATGGCTGGCTTTACAGATTTTAGTTTTTGTTTATAAGTGGGGATAAGATGAATCAAATTATGGTCAGAGAGGCCGAGAGCTGCACAAGGGACAGAGTGGTATGCCCCTTTAAGAACTGTGTAGCAATGATCCAGTATGTTTTTGCCTCTAGTCAGACATCTGATGTGCTGTCTGTATTTCGGTAGTTCGGAATTAAGTTTAGCCTGATTGAAATCACCCAAAATAATGAGCACTGAGTCTGGGTACTTGTTCTCTGTGGAGGTAACTTGATCGGCGAGAGTCTGCAATGCAACACTCACATCTGCTTGAGGATGTATGTAAACACCAATCAAAATGAATGATGATATTTCCCGCGGGGAGTAAAACGGCTTACAGTTCAAAAATATTGTCTCCAAGTTTGAGCTACAATGTTTACAGAGAACTGTAGCGTCTGTACACCAACATTCATTAATGTAGAAGCAGATTCCACCTCCTTTCGTCTTCCCTGATGGCTCTTTTTCCCGGTCTGCGCGATGTAAACAAAACCCGGGCAGGTATAAGCCATTATCAGGAATCAAGTCACTGAGCCACGTTTCCGTAAAGCAGAGGGCAGCGGAGTGTGCAAAATCTCGGTTGGTCCTGTTCAGAAGGAGCAGCTCGTCCATTTTATTAGGTAGGGATCGGACGTTCGCTAGGTGTATTGCTGGGAGAGGCATACGAAATCCCCGTTGGCGGAGTCTCACCAGCGATCCTGCTCGTTTACCCCTCCTGCGCTTCCTTCTCCAACAAACAGCAGTTCCTCCGATCAAAACTTCCAATAAACTCCCCGGGTCCTCAAATTTTTGAAAATCCGTTTCTGTGGTTTGTTGCCTGATACCCAGTAGTTCATCTCTACTGAAAGTAATCCGTTTTGCATCGCTGATTTCCAAAAAAATATACAAAAACAACACAAACAAAAGAGAGCAATGTACTGAGGCTGCCATCTGCAGCGCCATCCTGCGAGTCTCAATTCAGGGTCTGCATCCTTCGAAGGACCCAGCCCACCCGGCCGACGTGGGCTGGGTCCTCCGTCGGCCGGGTAGACCGGATGTTAACGCTGTGAATTTGGACAGGCCTAGCCTTCATGAACTCCCTCGGCGAACGTTCTGTCGCCTAGCAACCGTGGAACCGCTGGGCAGAAGGGAGAAGGAACTTTAAACGATGGAGCTTGACGTTTTATTTAGCTTTTTAACCCCCCAGAAACCCAAATTTAGAAAACAACTGCAAAATCTTTTTTTAACCTTTCACATGTTGTTCTAGGAGGCCAGATAAACGGGCCTATTTACACATTTTAACAGCCAATAGTGTTGCAGAACTGAACAATAGGACCTATTAGCAATGTAAATGTGGTTTTAAAAAGAAAAAAAATGGGGAAGTTTTATTTTTGTAGACTTAAATCTGATGTTGTAATATTACAACCGTGGGTCTCTGGGGGTTATCATTTCCTTGATTGTTGGAGAGCTAATTCAGAGAAAATACTTTAGACAAGCTGAGCCTGAGCAAAGATGTGATAATAGTTTTTAATACTTTCTCAGGGTCTTAATTTGACCAAAACCGATTTATCACCTTTTAAGACTTTTCAAGACCCAGCAGATACCCTCTAGTAAACAATTCTCATTTGTAAACAAAAATAAAATTCAAGAGTTTAATGCAGAACTGATTTTATTTAGATATTTCTTTTATATGTACATGTTTAATCTTCCTTAACCATTTTTTCTAGCAAAGTAAAAAGCTGTCAAAGTTCTTCCTTCTCTCCTGTGCTCTCTGCTGCTCTGCCTCCCTCTGCAGCCTCAAGTCCTCCCTGAACAGCTCCAGAAGCTGGTCATCGCTGGCACCTTCCCCTGGATGCCCATTTTCTCCAGAATAGTCTTAACAAACATGTAAGAAAAAAAAAACAGATAGAGAAAAGAGGACAACGGGTTATTCCTTTCATGTTTTCGCAGAAAAAAATAAACTCAAACGAGTTTTTTAAAATATGAGATGTTATTGTACCTCCATGCCACAGCCGCCGAATACTTTGCTCCGGTGATCATGTGGTCCATCTCCGCCCTAAGCTTAATAAATTCCCTGGTTTTCTCTTTTGTTCCTAAAATACAAACTTCTATTAAAATCAGGGGGAAAACGTAGCGGGAGAAGTACGACACCGAGCGCGGCCGAACATACGAGCCGAGACCGCAATACAAGCACTTTTACTGTTACATTTCTAACTAAAATAACGTTCATGTATCACAAAAAGGCCTTAACCTAACAGTTTTAAAGTTTATACTTACATTTATATGCGCAATCCTCTCCGACAGCTCCCGCTTCACTGTCCGCCATTGTTTTTAAGTTTTTCTGCCGGCCGACCCGCAAGGCATCTTGGGAAATGCTACCTATTGAAGGATACACCCGACCCATCCTTCATTCAGGCAAAAAGAAGGCCGGATTCGTCGACCGCATTTGAAGGAGTCTTCGAATTGGGACAGGCCTAGTCGCGGCGCTGTGACGTAACCGGCCGACGTAGGATGCAGACCCTGAATTGAGACACAGCCAATATGTCACATTTTGTCCTTCCTGATTGTGACACCTTCCCCCCTCCCACCTGTTGCTAGGCAACCTTGGTGTTGATTCCCATCAGCAATTTGCTGCTCATTTGCTGTCATCATGTCCTGCAGCTGTTTTCTCATGTTTTCGCCCGCTGACAGCCGTAGAGGTTTGTTGGGCTGGAGCCTCAGAGTCTGCTTAGGTTTGGTTCTGGACCAGTGTGGGGTTGACTATATTTGACTCTCCCTTTAATCCAACAGGCGATGGCTTAAAGGGCGGAGCTATACTACATAAAACGTTGGTTACATATTGTAACCCCAGAGTATATGAGTTCAGCGTAGCCCTTTAAGCATCCTGGCCCCACTGGTTCTGAGGGATCTTTGAGACTTATGGAGATGAGCTATGCTCTCTGTACCCTTTTATTGGGCCAGGACCCACCTAGGAGGCAGGCATACACGAAAAGCTCTTCAATAATTGGATAAGGGAATGAAAATTAATCTAATGGGTGATGGCTTCAAGGTCGGAGCTATATGACATAGAACTTTAAATTTGGTCATTTTCAAGGAGGACTTTACCTCTGGCCTCCCACAGCCAATTGGTCCATGTCAGATAACGTATCGGGTGCTGTAGCATGTTGCATGATGAGATAGCTAGATGTATGAACAAAGGAAGCATTGGCCGCTTTGTGTTGTTGTGAGTTTGTAAGCCTGCAGAAAATTGTATACTCCTGTTGTGTGAAGGGCTGCCACACTATCTTCACAAGAAGGCAAAAAAGTTAAATGTAGGCAGGGATCACATTAATTGGATATTTTCTGTTTGGCCGATTATTTTGATGGAAAAATCTCAAGGTTGTTGGTAATTTTGACAGACTGGAATTACCTTGATGCATACAGGTGAGCAGACATTTTAAACATTACACACAGAGAAAATCACGAAGGTAACAAAATACATCATGAAAAAATTCCCATCCGAACATCTGAGCATTATCTCAGACATGGACACCATGATCAGTGCAGCTAGCTTTTTTTTTTTTTAATAAAAATGACAGGAGAAAACGATAATGGCTATTTTTTCTAACTCTGTCGGTCAAAATGACAACAAAAAGGTCTAGCGCGACCTTTGTATATATGTATTGTTTCTGTATCTGCTTGTAACTTATATTGATAACTTGTTTACGCAATTTTAATAATAGTAATGTATTGAACTTATATTGCGCTTTTTAGGACACTCAAAGACACTTTCATGCACTCTCACATTCACACACTGCCATTGATTGTAAGCTACGTAGCCACAGCCCCGCAGGGGCGGTCTGACAGAGGCGAGGCTGCCATTTGGCGCTGACAGCCCCTCTGACCACCACCAACTCATGACTTGTTTAAACAAATTATTATCCGGGCTAATCCAAAATTGAAAACCTGGCACAGCGCCTGTGCTAGTGGAGCAATGTTTTTGGGTGGCAACTTTTTATTTTTACTTGATTCTAAGTTTGTTGAAGTAGTTCTACTTAGGGCCAACCAATATATTCAATTTTTTCTATATCAGGCATCTGCAAAAATTATAAGCCATTAAATTATTTTTTTTTCTATTAGGCACCTGAGTGGCTAACTGCCGCCACTACTAGACTGAAGAAAGTGCCCGGAGGACCCCAACACACGTTTTTTTTAATGTTTTGAGTGTTTTATATTTGAAGTTCAATAAATATTAAGAGATTTATTAACTTATTTAATTTATATTGCACACGGTGAGTGTTCAGTCTTCTTTCACAATCAATGGGCTGCTAAGACATTTTGTATCAGTCTTAATAATCGGCTTTAGATATCGGCCATCGGCAACTAGATTGCTAATAATCTGTATCGGCGTCAACCTTAAAAAAATATCCCACGTGGGTCTGCCTCTAGTACAGGGTATCCGCGGGTCCTTAAAAAGTCTTAAAAAGTCTTAAATTTGCTTTTCTAAATTTAAGGCCTTAAAAATCCTTAAAAATGACAAATAATCATTAAAGGCACAGACCGCAGGATGACGCTGTCAGGGTGAGGAGGAGGAGATTTTTAAATTCGAACGGCTGTTGCTCACTCCCCCGCCCTTCCTGAAAGAGCCGAAAGCCACGCCTCCCAATGTGCACGCGCAGGAAAAGCAGAGTCAACATCGGAGCATTGCTTCTTGTAATAGAGCTGAGCTAGTGTAAGCAATGGAGTTATCTGAGGTAAGAAAGTTGTATTTAACCAGCACATTAAACACTGTTTACAAAAGGCATTTTATAAAGAATATCTATAAATATATTTATATTTTAAAATACCAGTAACAGTTAGCAATCTATATTGTAAATAAAATTAATCCTATCAAATTGTTAGTATTTTATTACAAGTAACTAGCTTATTTTTAATTGCTTTGCCATTCAAGATGGGATGAATATATCAAAGCATATAAATAATTTATGTGGAAATCATGAATAAACACTGCATTCTGTGTAGTCCTCCTATAATCATGGTTGTTTTCAAAGTTTCTGTTTATTGTTGGTTTAGCCCAAATTTTGACTAGATGTAAACCTGATCTGTGTCAAAATTGATTAATATGCAAGAGTACTTTTTATATTGGTATAATTTTTTTTATTCTAATACAATTTAGAGTTCAGTGATTGAGGAATCCTCTGAGGAAGAGTTTGAACCTCCTATTGCATCCTCAAGCCGTGGTGCATCCAGAGGCCGTGGTGTGTCTAGAGGCCGCGGTGCATCCAGAGGCCGAAGAAGTGTGAGACACTCAGCTGTGGACCTTGGAGACGAAGATCTCTCTCGAGTTCGGAATCTTTGTTCCGAGCGAATAGACTTTGAACGTGTAAGCATAACAAAATTACACTAAATTATCCTAAAAACTGTTGCTGTAGCATCTCTTTCCACTTTTGTAGCAACACATACAGAACCTGAACCCTCAGCAGGCTATTGAAATCCTTACCATGGTGCTGGACAGAGACCCTGGTGTTCTCTTTGATGTACTTGCCCTCTCTGGTCCACCTGCCACAACACCTCCAACACCCAATCAACCTTCATGGTGTGTATGCTCCCACTGCAGAGATATGCCAACTGATTTGGAAAAGAAATGCTGCCAACAGCCTCCCCAGACATGTATTTCAACTGTACCACACATGGAGGAGTTTATTCTGCAAAATTCCCTGACCCCAGTGGTAACTACACTGGTTTTATTCCAAGACGATTGTAAATAAATGTATATATTTGATATTTTACATAAGTTTGTTTTTAGATATTTTTGTTTGATGCTCTAATAAAGTGTTCTAAAGCATGACTTTGTTTTGTATTTGTAAAAATACCATAAATTTTAAAACTCCTGCACAAAAACAAAAAATTATGTCTATCTCCAACATTTTACATACATTTTTAAATTATTAGTCTTTATTTCCCCAAAATATATCTTTATTTTCACACAAAAAAAACACAGGAAACAAAAATAAAGAAGGTTTTGGGTTTTCTCTTGCCTCCCCCAACACCTATGTCTGTGGCAAAGTTTACCTGTAAATAAAAAATAAACTCAATTAGCAATGGACTATTGTGTGGAAGATGTAAGGCAGATAATGTTTTATTTTACCATCACCGCAAGTCCGTAGGTGTTGTAGTAGTTCCTCTGTTGATGGTGCAGGAACTCCGGACAGCAAACCATAACGCCTTGGATCCTCAGGCCTTAGCTTGTAGCGTCGAGGAAGACCTTTCTTGCTTGTCAAACGTCGGTCAGTTGCTTCTGGGATATTACAGTCATGAACTGTATCCTCCATGTTAATTTCTTGCAGAGTCTCAAGTTGTAATGTTTTTTGTAATGCTGCTCCAGTCCTGTGAACAAAAGCTTTTTATTAACTATGCGCTATTGCAGTTTTTTAGAATGTTAAACGAAAAGAATTACCTTATGTGTATATAAGGTGTGTAGTCCTCATCACCGCTGTCATCAGTACCGCTGTCCATCTCGATGGTTTCGTCCTCCTCTGAAGACAAATCAACTTTTGTTTCTGTTTGGTGACCATGTGTCATCTGATGACTCTATCCTGAATATACACAATATAAAGTTTTTAGTATGGAAAATTAGACACATTTTATTAACATCTGAATACATACACAGAGATTTGAATATTGTTGAACTCTTCCTCGTCAATGTTTGCTTCAATTCCCACACAAGATAACCTAAAAAAGTAATTATTGTTTACTTTTCCTGACAAATGTGACAGCCGTATACAGATACAACCTTGTACTTACATTTGTGAAGATCCTTCTTTTTTAGTTTCACCTTGTTCCATCACCTCCTCCAAATTATCAGCCCTATGAAAATAAAATACAAGCACAAGAATATGATTAGAATCAATACATATTTTGTCATTTTGAAGGTAATAGACCTCGTCTATTGGCCGTCATCATCACCATCTCCTTATTTTTCTCCCTCTACTTATTACGCATTTCTCTGTATCCACTGAATTCCTTCTTTACAAATAATTTCCTGTCTCTCTCTTTACATTTTAAAAATACATTTGTGTTATTTTTTCTCATAAACTTTGAAATAAAAATATATTTTTTTTAAATATTTTTAATTTTGTTGTTGTGAAGCGCCTCAAGAGTTTTATCTTGAGAGGCGCTATATAAAATGTAGTTTTACTATTTATTTCTATACATTTTTTTATAGTCATTCATTATCCAATTTCTAGAATTGTTTCAAAATAATCCACCACTAACTTAAAACAAACAGAGGCAAAATTATAATATTCCTGGTAGAGGTTTATAGGCAGCTATTTACCTTTCAGATGATTCACCATGAATGCTCGACAAAGCTGGCACTGGTGTTGGAGAAATAAACAGTTGGCGTTTCAATGGTGTAGATGTTGATACTTCATATTTGGACTGATGACTGTAAAAAACAAAGCCCAAAAATTAGTGATCACAAGCTAAACAAGTCTCCCCAGCCTTCACAGATTTCTGCACGAGCTGATTATCATTCCTTTTATTTTAATATGGAGTTTTCACGTAGGTATAACCACAAAATCAGACAGTAATCTGTACACGTGGCCCACCCAGGTTAGCACAATATGTCTTTCGGTGCTGATGGAAACGTAAGGTTTTGGATACGTTCCTGATCAATCACACCTAATTCTAACTGCTGAATCATCTCCTCAGACTTCTACAAGTACTACATGAGCTGCTGATTACTCATTTTAATCAAACACGCAGCTCAGGAAAGTGTAAACATCTAATTCGGCATTCAAGATGCTAACTGAACCCCGCTAACGGGGAAGTTATAAACAAGAGCTTAAAACAATACACTGATATGGCCTATAGTTAAACGCCACACTACTCATTAACTCCCATACAAATAAAACTAAAATCCCCTTTCGTTACTCAAACATATTCCAAATATAGCATAAATAGTTCGACTAGCATCGATTCATGTCGACTTAGCATTCAAGCTAATGCTACATTAGCCAATAGGACACCAAGCATACAAAGCTGGTTTGCTCTATTACTTCTTCAGTGAAAGAAAGATTTGAAGTAAATGTATCCGAAAAACAATAAATAACTTACCTGTCCAAAAGATACTTTGCCAACTCTTCATCCGTTTTCAGGCCGTGTTGATCATGAAAATCTCTCCATCGTTTAAAACAATCTCCAATGTAAATTCTACTCAACTGTCTCAAACGTCTTACAGCCACTTTTGAAGAAGGGCTTTTAAACTTTTTAAATGTTTTTTGAGATGTGGAAGGCAGTCGAGGAATCGGTAATTTGGGGTTTTGTTGCTCTATGTTTCTGCAGTAAGCCGAGTGAGGCGCGTGACACTGTTGTGCACGCTGAGACCTGCTCGTGCTCGATGATTGACAGCTGCCCCCTGGTGGTAACGCAGCGCTATTGGTCAACGCGTTAGGCTTGCAGAAATATTGGCTGAGCTCTACAGGGCAGGGGAGGGACTTAGGAGAAAATTGAAATATTAAAGATTATTTACTTTTTTTAATAAAATTGGGTCAGATGGTCAAAATAAAACATTTTTAAAGTTATTCTACATTTAAATCCTGCAGACTGTGCCTTTAAATACAGTTTCCAAAGGTCTTAAATTACCAAAGACCCAATGAACAAGAATTAATAGTTAGTCTTCAGCATTTTTTTGGTATGATGTTGGCGTAAGCGGAACCGTACACATTCAGTTGGTTGTGAAAGGGGGCTATTTTTAGATGAGCACATTAGCTGGTTAAGCTAGTGGGAGCTTGCGCCATGGGGAAGTGCAAGTTTAATGGTAATTGGGTGGGTAATCCCACGTTTGCGATGTGGTTAGCACCGGTTCCAGGCAATAGCTGGAAATTATAGCTTGAATTTAATTTAAAAAATAGCTTAAATTTGGTCAAAGTGGCCTTAAAAAAGGTCTTTAAAAGTCTTAAATTCGGCTCCCTTAAATCTGCAGATACCCTGCTCTAGTACTACTCTTACTCAAGTGACATTTTTGTGAGTAGTGAAACGTCTTAGCTCTGTTTGTTTCATTTGAGGTTGTAGGGATCTACAATGCACTGCATAAGTTCATCCTTCTTCTTTTGTATCCATCCTTTTGACTCGTGTGCTAACCCTAACCCTGACCACCACCAACTCATGACTTGTTTAAACAAATTATTGTCTGGGCTAATCCAAAATTGAAAACCTGGCACAGTGCCTGTGTTAGTGGAGCAATGTTTTTGGGCGGCAAATTTTTATTTTTACTTAATTCTAATTTTGTTGAAGTAGTTCTACTTAGAGGCTGACCAATATATTCAATTTTTTTCTATATCAGCCATCTGCCAAAATTATAAGCCGTTAAATTTATTTATTTTTTATTAGGCACCTGATTGGCCAACTGCCACCACTACTAGACTGAAGAAAGGACCTGAAGGACCTCAACACACATTTTTTTTTAATGTTTTGAGTGTTTTATATTTGAAATTAAATAAATAATAAGAGATTTATTAACTTATTTAATTTATATTGCACACTGTGAGTGTTCAGTTGTCTTGCACAATCAATGGGCTGCTAAAACATATTCATATCGGTCTTAATAATCGGCTTTAGATATCGGCAACTAAATTCTTTAATTTTCTGTATCGGCATCAGCCTTTAAAAACTCCCACATGGGTCGGCCTCTAGTACTACTCTTACTCAAGTGACATTTTTGGCAGTAGTGAAACGTCTTAGCTTTGTTTGTTTCATTTGAGGTACTCTACAATGTACTGCATAAATTCATCCTTCTTCTTTTTTATCCATGCTTATGACTCGTGTGCTGCTTCAATTTCAGCTGTGGCTTCCCCTAGCAATGTGTGTTATACACCTAAAATGATGCTGGGGGGTGTGGTTGACATGCAGGTCACGTGTCTGACAACGACGGATACAGCAACTTACTCGCCTAAGATGCTGTTGTAGGCATGTTTTGCTGGAGCAGGCGTGGGCAGAGTAACACTGAAACAAAGCGTTATATTTTTGGGTGTAAATTCAAGCTGACAAAAATAACTCATTTAAGATACATGACCCTGAAAAGTATCTAGAAAATAATATATACATGCATATGAATAAGGAACGTGAAGATTACAGCGATCAAGAACTAAATGATTCTGTTTTATCAGAAGGATCACTCTCAATCATTCACTTTAATTGTAGAAGTTTGTATTGTAATTATTACAAAATTTTGGATTTTTTAACACAAAACAAAAGATTTCTAATTATTGCAATTACAGAAACATGGCTAAAAGAAGGTAATAATGAAGAAGTACAAATAGAGGGCTATGAAATGTATTTACTAAATCGGAAAAATAAAAAAGGAGGTGGTGTAGCACAATATATTTGTAATAATTTGAAAAGCAAAGTTATGTATAACATGTCAACAGCCATCAATGATGTAATGGAAATAATTACTATAGAAATCATTTCTGAGAAGACAAAAAACATAATAATAAGTTGTAAATACAGAGCACCAGGATCCTGTGTAGAATCATTTACAAATACAATTACTGAAATGTTGAGTGGAATCTGCAACAAGGATATATTTCTCTGTGGAGATTTTAATATTGATCTGGAATGTAATTTAATGGAATGTAAATAACTCAAAGACTGCAAACGACTTTATAAATTCAATGTATCTACTGGGTCTGTTTCCACTGATAACCAAACCAACAAAAATAAATGCACACAGTTCAACTACAATACAGGTGCTGGCCAGTAAATTAGAATATCATCAAAAGGTTGAAAATATTTCAGTAATTCCATTCAAAACGTGAAACTTGTACATTATATTCATGCAATGCACACAGACCAATGTATTTCCGATGTTTATTACGTTTAATTTTGATATTTATAGGTGACAACCAATGAAAACATCAAATCTGGTATCTCAGAAAATTAGAATATTCTAAAGGCCAATGAAAAAATGTTTGTTTCTCTAATGTTGGCCAACTGAAAAGAATGAACATGAAAAGAATGTGCATGTATAGCACTCAATACTTAGTCGGGGCTCCTTTTGCCTCAATAACTGCAGTAATGCGGCGTGGCATGGACTCGATCAGTCTGTGGCACTGCTCAGGTGTTATGAGAGCCCAGGTTGCTCTGATAGTCGTCTTCAGCTCCTCTGCATTGTTGGGTCTAGCGTATTGCATCCTCCGCTTCACAATACCCCATAGATTTTCTATGGGGTTAAGGTCAGGCGAGTTTGCTGGCCAATCAAGGACAGGGATACCATGGTCCTTGAACCAGGTGCTGGTGGTTTTGGCACTGTGTGCAGGTGCCAAGTCCTGTTGAAAGGTGAAGTCTGCATCCCCATAAAGTTGGTCAGCAGCAGGAAGCATGAAGTGCTCTAAAACTTCCTGGTAGACGGCTGCATTGACCCTGGACCTCAGGAAACAGAGTGGGCCAACACCGGCAGATGACATGGCACCCTACACCATCACTGACGGTGGAAACTTTACACTGGACCTCATGCAACGTGGATTCTGTGCTTCTCCGCTCTTCCTCCAGACTCTGGGTCCTTGATTTCCAAAGGAAATGCAGAACTTGCTTTCATCAGAAAACATAACTTTGGACCACTCAGCATCAGTCCAGTCCTTTTTGTCCTTGGCCCAGGCGAGACGCTTCTTGCGCTGTTTCTTGTTCAAGAGTGGCTTGACACACGGAATGCGACACCTGAATCCCATGTCTTTCATGAGTCTCCTCGTGGTGGTTCTTGAAGCGCTGACTCCAGCTGCAGTCCACTCTTTGTGGATCTCCCCCACATTTTTGAATGGGTTTGTCGTCACAATTCTCTGCAGGGTGCGGTTATCCCTAGAGCTTGTACACTTTTTTCTACCACATTTTTTCCGTCCCTTCGCCTGTCTGTTAATGTGCTTGGACACAGAGCTCTGCGAACAGCCAGCTTCTTTAGCAATCACCTTTTGTGTATTGCCCTCCTTGTGCAAGGTGTCAATGATTGTCTTTTGGACAGCTGTTAAGTCAGAAGTCTTCCCCATGATTGTGGTGCCTTCAAAACAAGACTGAGGGACCTTTTAAAGGCCTTTGCAGGTGTTTTGAGTAAATCAGCTGATTAGAGTGGCAGCAGGTGTCTTCTATATTCAGCCTTTTCAGAATATTCTAATTTTTTGAGATACCAAATTTGGAGTTTTCATTAGTTGTCACTTATGAATATCAAATTTAAATGTAATGAACATTGGAAATACATTGGTCTGTGTGCATTGCATGAATATAATGTACAAGTTTCACGTTTTGAATGGAATTACTGAAATATTTTCAACCTTTTGATGACATTCTAATTTACTGGCCAGCACCTGTAGATAAAATATTTACTAACGTTGCAAGGGAAATAGAGAGAAGTGGAATTGTAATGACAGACATCAGTGATCACCTGCCAATTTTTACTGTATAAAAATAATTGGATTAAATTTCAACATAAAACGCAAAGACTAATAAGAGATAGCTCACAAAACGCTATAGATGCGCTAAAAAGAGACTTGGAACAACAAAACTGGGAAACAGTTTATGTTAAAGACGTAAACACGACTTACAACTCCTTTTTAAGAATATTGTGTAACCAATTTGATAAAAACTGTAAAACCAAAATTCTAACAAAAAGACAAGGGATGAACAATCCATGGATGACAAAAGGGCTGCAGAATGCCTGTTAGAAAAAAAACTTATATAGATGCTTTTTAAAGCAAAGAACAAGTGAAGCAGCAAATAGGTACAAAAAATACAAGACTAAATTAGTTACAATAATAAGAAAACAAAAAAAGCATTATTATAGCAATTTATTAGACAAAAATAAAAATAATATCAGAGCAATTTGAGGAATACTAAATAGTGTAACAAAAAGAAATAAAACAGCTTCACCTGTTCCGCAATACTTTGTAAATGGACAGTCAGAAATTAGTGAAACTAGCACAATAGCAAACAAATTTAACAATTACGTTACTAGTGTGGGACCAAACAGCAAACAACATTCCTAAAAGAACTAATTATAACATCAGTGGAAAAATAACAAGTAATACAAATAGTATACTTCTGAGTCCAGTAACTAGCGATGAAATAAGAATCATTGTAAATAAATGCATCAATAAAAGAACTACTGACTGTAATGATCTAGACATAACATTAATAAAAAATATAATAGAAAATATCATTCATCCCTTCACTTACATATGTAATTTATCTTTCACAACACAACAGGGACATTTCCAGATAACATGAAAATAGCAAAAGTCATACCAATATACAAAAGTGGTGAAAAACACACGTTTTACAATTACAGATCAATATCCTTATTGTTGCAATTTTCTAAAATATTAGAAAACCTATTTATTACTAGACTAGATGAATTCCTGACTAAAGAAAATATATTAAACGACAGTCAATATGGTTTTAGAACTAATCATTCAACTTCCATGGCATTAATGGAACTTAAAGATGAAATATCAGAAGCCATTGACAAAAATAACCATTTCATAAGTATTTTTGTTGATTTTTATAAAGCATTTGATACAGTAGATCATGAAATTCTTCTTAAAAAACGTAGTAAATATGGTATTAAAGCAATGGCTCTAAAATGGCTAACAAGTATTTGAATGATAGGAAACAATATGTACAAATAAATGACATTAAATCAACTCTACGTGATATTACTTGTGGGGTACCACAAGGGTCAGTACTGGGTCTGAAACTATTATGTATATAAATGATATTGCCTCTATATCAAATATATTAAAATGTATTCTATTTGCAGATGACACTACCTTTTATTATGCAGGAGATAATATCAAACAGATGGTAGAAACAGTACAAACTTGAGATGAAAAAAAATAAAATTATGGCTTGATGGGAATAAACGCATTAAGCACTGACAAATCATGTTTCATGATGTTTAGTAAAAGTAACTCAAATGATACAAGTCTATTAAATATAGATGTTATTAATATTACAAGAGTAAAAGAAGTAAATTTTTTGGGAGTTATAATCGATGAAAATGTATGTTGGAAGCCACATATAAACAATGTGAAAACTAAAATAGCTAAAACAATTGCAATGTTACATAGAGTAAAATTGTCACTGGATGATCGCTCCCTATATTTATTATATAATTCACTTATTGCACCATATTTTTAACTATTGTATAGAAATCTGGGGCACAACATATAAAACTTATACAAATTCTATCTATATATTGCTTAAAAAAGCAATAAGAATCATTACAAGTAGTAATTACAGAGATCCATCTAACCCATTATTCATAAAATCAAAAACGTTAAAATTCTATGACCTACTGGACTACAATATTTCTAAATTCATGTATAATGCTAACAAAAAACAACCTCCCTAAAAATTTACTTAGAAGATTTATAAAAAGAGAGTAAATATGAACTAAAAGGACATGAATTATTTACAATACCTAAGCATAGAAAAATTATAAAGGAGCGCTGTGTATATATGGAGTTAAAATATGGAATAAGCTAGGTAATGTAATCAAGGATGCGAAAACGATATTTACTTAAAAAAAAGTAATTAAAAATGAAATACTAGAATCATATACGTGCAAATCAATTATATAAAAAATAAATAAATAAAGCTATAGAAGATGTGTGTAGGTATATTCATGTGTTTGTGTAAATATGTATGTATGTTTGTTTATGTGTATATGTAGTGGATACATGTGTGTATCTATATGTATATATGAAGTATGTGCGACCATATGGGCATGCAATGCACTTTAATGTATATATGTATGAATAGGTATATGTGCAAAAATCCTTTTGCTTTTTGAATTATTATTATTACTATTAATTTTTTTTCTTTTTTCTTTACAAATTGAACTCAAGTTAGTTAAACAGTCAAGCAATTTCTTTGTATTGGCTAATTTATAATTATTGTTATTTCAGTGTAAAAATGTCATTTTAGTTAAGAAGGGGCAGATAACATAAGTTTTCTTCTTTCTGTTCCCTTTTCATTTTCTTGGTTTGAGAAACCTCATTTTATCGTTAGTATTGTTTTTTTTCTATTTCAATAATAAATTAAATAATTTTTAAAAATTAAAAAAAAAGATAAATGACATCTAAGTAGTGCCATCTGTAATGTTTTATCATATACTGTGCCTACCTTTGTTCTCAAAGGTTTAAAATAGCATGATATTGAACCTTTAAGGAAACGTTCTATTGTGCTCTTTATGTGCTTTGTGAGAACACAGGTGTTCTGTTAGCCCTGGGTGGTGGCAAGCCTCAGCGGGTGTAGCTGCTGTGCTTCTGACAGCAGACTGAGCATGGCATGTTCATGTTTGCCTACTTTCAGTCATTTAGTGCATGGCTTAACCATCTTGTTCATTAACAGACCTGAACTTAGAGTTATGGCCATGTTTTGATCAAACCTCACATTACACATCAAACGACTCCATGTCACATTTTCAGGTTGATTTCAGGCACCTGTAGGTGCAGGGTGACAGTTGGGCATTCAGTGGTGTTTGGAGCTGCAGAGCTGATGTAGAAGCATCTAAGCCTGTTCTTGTTGTTCTGTCCCATTTTCCTCCTAGAGAGTGGGAGAGTCTGTAAGTTGCATTCTCTTTGTCCTGTGTCCTGCTATTGTGGTGCCTGTCCTCCAGCTCACATGCTTTTGTGTTTATATGTGGTCTACCTGTTTGCATAGACTGCATCATCCAGCTTCAAACTGCTCGTTGGCCAGAAAAACCTTCTCTTATGAGCCTACATAAAGTTTTAGCTTATTTACCATTTACAGTAAAGCATGCCTGCTTTTAGATTCAGCTCATCACCTTGTGGTAGGGCTGGGCAATAAATCAAAAATGTATCGTTATCAAAATTTCTGCCTCTTATCGACATAATTTTTTCCATGTCATTAAATTTGATGATAAAAAAATGAAAAGATGTGTGTAGGTTGGAAACATTCATGTCCCTTTATGAAGCTGTACCACATTGAGTCACGTAAAAATGTGACTCAAGGTAATACATGTGACAGCCCCATCTAGTGGACAACTTTTGTTTCTGCTCATACCTGTAGTTATGGTCCATTTATCGATATTAAGGTGAAATCCTCAATATATCGTGATATAAATTTTAGGTCACATCGCCCAGCCCTACCTTGTGGCTTACCACAGTTTTAACAAAAGGCAACATTTAAAGATTTCTAGTTGTGTAATAAATCTTAAAACTAGATCACATGCTTAAACAGCTAGTCTTCCCCAAATCAAGTTTATTATTGCTGATGAACTGTAAAGATGAATGTCTAATCGTGTTGTAGCCATGTACAGTCACTAGTTTAGCACTTTAGTGCATGTTATTTAAAATTTAATAATTCAGCCTAAAACCATGGTTATTGTACCCTCTTTAGGTTAAAACTCTGCGCCACATCGATTTGAATCAGCCATTGCTAATGGTAAGAGGTACCCAGTGATATTGTTGATACTGTATTACGTGGCTGGACTACAGCCGAGTTTTGGCTAGGGGTACAATGAGTTATCATTGATCCGTGATCCATACGGAACTCTCTCTCCAGTCAGCTCGCATGCGGTTCGCGGATCAGTCACGTGGAGGGGTCCGGTCGCGGGGGAAGTAGCCTAAGCAGAGAGGCCCAGACTTTCCTTTCCCCGGCAACTTGGGCCAGCTCCTTCAGGGGAATCCTATGGCGCTCCCTGGCCAGCCACGAGAAATAGTCTCTCCAGCGTGTCCTGGGTCTTCCTTTAGGCCTTCTCCCAGTTGGATGTGCCTGGAAAACCTCACCAGGGAGGCGTCCAGGAGGCATCCTAACTAGATGCTCGAGCCACCTCAACTGGCTCTTCTCAATGTGGAGGAGCTTGGGTCTACTCCCGGTTGTCCGAGTTTTTCAGCCCATCTCAAAGGGAGAGCCCAACCACCCCTGTGGAGGAAACTCATTTCAGCCACTTCCTAACCCTAACCCTATCGATCACTACCCAAAGCTTGTGACCATAGGTGAGGGTAGGAATGTAGATCGACCGGTAAATCGAGGGCTTTGCCTTCTGTCTCAGCGCTCTCTTCACTGCGACAGATCTGTACAATGCCCACATCCCTGCAGATGCAGCACCAATCCACCAGTCGTTCCCCCGGAACCTTGCCACCAAGAAGCATTTTGACCTTCTCAGTGGCAAGAGGTGGTCAGTGTCGGTAGTGTAGACATTACAAACGTGTTTTAATATTTCCCCACAAAAACCTTTAAATCGTTGGACAATATGACCAACATGCCTCTTCTCTGAACTTGCCAAAATAAAATAAACCTCCTGAAAACCACAAATTGATTGTTGATAATTTGCTCTGATTCCGTGACACAGACATTTTTTCAGTAATCCATCAGAGATTGTGTCTGGTCTCTACAGCAGCTGCCAGCAGGAGTGCTTCTTCTGACCCACCAGAAACTTTAAGCAGCTGTATTACACTATAGCTTGGTTTATGCTTGACGCGTCGGCGAGGTTCGCACTGCTCCGTGCGGCAAAATTGCGTCATTTTAACAACCACGCCCCTCCACCGCGCCACTGCACGGCCCAAACTTTCTGCAACGCGCACCTGGGAAATTTTCTAACCACGCGGACGGTCGGACGTGGAAAAACATGGCGGACTGACAAGAACTAGTATGGCAGAGGTTCGTAAATACCGACATTTGTATGATACAGCTCTCAAAGATCACAGTGATCAACATGCTGTTCATAATTCTTGGAGAGAAATAGTTCGCACTGTCGGAAAAGACGAGGACGCTGTTAAAAAATGCTGGAATGTCATGTTGTAAACAACAGTAATTTTTACTTCTACTATGGTTTAGTGTTGGATGCATGCCGTAGAGCTCCATGCTGCCCCCTACAGTTTGGGAGAATATTGGCTCACCACAGAGACAAGCCGCACGAACCATAAACGCTGCAAGTTGTGAAGCACGTTCCATCCGCGAGCCGCATCACCAAGCGGAAAGTGAATGCGTCAAGCATAAACCAAGCTTAACACTACTTTGCCTTTAAATGTTGCCTCCTGTTGTCTGAGTTCCACGCTGTTCCTATCCTCCACCTGAGCCTTTTCCTTATTAAGCAGTGACCTTGAAACATATTTTTTCTCCTGATGTGATCATCGTTTTCTTCACTGCTGCTTGTCTTACTCTGAATGCTTTGTCAAACTAGGAACCAGTCAAATGTCCGTCGCATGCACACAGCGGTGAAGCTGAATGAGGTGGTGGTCAACAAATCCCAGGGAGCTCATCTTGTTCTGCTCAACATGCCTGGACCACCCAAAAACAGAGGAGGAGATGAAAACTGTATCCTTCACCCATGATGATATACACTGTCATGACATTTTTAGAGACTTAACTAAGTAATAAGAAAGCAGTCAATCAAAAGGGTTTACTTTCAATGTTGCAATATCAAAATGAGGAGACAGTCACAGAGGCCAAAGCAGCCTCAGGAGTGAGTCCTGCCCAGCAGAGGCCCCCACACTCTTAATGGCGCTTACACATTAACGTTGGCATGGTCGGGGTTTGGTGGGGCTGGATGGCGTGAGTTTGGTTTTGAACGGGTGATGTTGTGTTCACATATAAATCTGAAGGACTTCTCAGGAATGCGGAAATCCCCGAGCCTGTGGGCGGAGTTTAATAAGCTCAGGAAAGTCCACGGTGTCCTCCATTATAAGGTAAAGGCAGCCATGAGCTGTGATGCTTTTGGAGACTGAACCACATAATTTTAATAATTTGCTGTGTGTCCTCATAATCTTGTGCCACACACACACACTGCTTTCTTCCTTGAGCATCTGTCTGCTCGCCGGGGCAAGCGCTCCGATGTGGAGAAGACACACACACACAGAGCTCACTCTCTTCTTCTGTTCCCACTAGGGATGGGTACCGAATTCGGTACTTTTTAAGGTACCGACCAAATTCCATAGTACCGGCCAAGCACCGATTCACGTCATTTCAAACGGTGCCTCGTTTCGGTACCCGTCCTTCATAACGAGAACTTGCCTAGACAGCTGCGCATGTGCAAGAGCGTTATGTCGTCGGTCGCTGCGAGCGAGTTGTAAACAGAGCAACATGGTAGAAAGAACGCAGGCTAAAGCTTGGGTCCACTTCACTAAATGTGATGGGTAACTGGGTGATGATGAAACCAGCGACAACGATCTAAGTGAGACATCCTCATCTTAATCTGCTCCGGTAGGTAAATAAAATGTTTAAGATAACGTTAGCTTGATATGTTAGCTTCCGTTTCGCTAATGGTGCGTTCGCTTTCTCCTCGGAACTCCGAATTCCCGACTAGACGCGCTTTAAAGTTTGGCTTCACTTTACTAAATGCGACGGGTGATTGGGTCAAGATGAAACCAATGACAACGATCTAAGTGTGAGGCATCATCATTTTAATCTGCTCCAGCAGTTAAATAAACTGTTTAAGATAACGTTAGCTTGGTATGTTAGCTTCCATTGCTACCATTGTTATCAGCTAATGGTGCGTTCGCTTTCTCCTCGGAAATTTTAACTTCCCAGTAGGAAAAATCAAATGAAAAGAGACGGCAAAAGGAATGAAGATACACAGTAAATTTAGTTCACAGTAAAGATGTTTAATTCAGTTTAATTATCAGCTTATAAAACTACAAGGACGATGTTAAAATACAAACAGTTGAATGTTATTTATCGTGATATATATCAAATATTGTTATATATTGAGAAAAATATATATTTAATTATAAAAGAGATTTAAAATAATAAACACTCAAAAGTATCGAAAATTGGTACCGTTAAGTACCGGTATCGATTCGTAGGTACCGGGAATTAGTACCGGATCGATTCAAATGTCAAAGGTACCCATCCCAGTAGCTCATACAGAGAAGTTTGCTCAACAGCATGCAGCATGAAAATAAATCATGCATGCTGATTCTACTCGCAGATCGGAGGTGGTATGCGTAATTTCTGCTGGCCAATCAGTCCATAGTTTCACCACGGTGCCAGTCTGAACACTGGGGAGAAGGTCTGAAAACAAGTCACCTCGGAACCGAAAACGCAAATCTGACCTGTGTGTGTGAAACCAAACCGACAGTAATGTGTAAGTGTCATATATATGTCCCTTGAACCCCCCCAAGGGAGAGAACAATGGAAGGCCCTACAGTGTTATCTGTAGGGGGGTCTGGACCCATATCTTGGGGCCGTGCTTCTTTAAGCAGAACTTTCAGGAAACTGTAGCTAAACAGAAAAACCTTTATGGCTGTCATAAAGCCAACTTCTCTGGCCCCACTGGAAGTTTGTACGGGTCAAAGAGATAAGAGAAATCAAATCCATTACAACACCGTGTTTGTTCTTGTTACCAGTCCCTTTGTTTTTAGATCTCCTGAATAATGCACCAGCAGGTGGCAGCCTTTAGTTAGTTTTAACCATAGCTTCTTCACCTAAAAGCAGCACAATAACTTCTAACGCTTCTACAATTGAGTATAACTAATTCCACAATGTCAGCAACGTTTAGATAGCTCATTAAGTCACATTTCTCACAGGAAAAGCTAATAGGCTAAATCCTTCTCTTACAGTGGGTTGGTTGACATCTTGGAATATAAGCATTTGACGCATCAACATTTTCATCAGTAAGAGTATTTCTAAGTGGGCTATTGACACAACAATTCCACCAGATGTTGCCATCAAGCCAAATATTGAATTCATACAAAGAAATCAGAACAATCAAAGTTGTTGAACACTGAAAACTAATTATAATCAGAAATATTCTCCTACACCTATGTCCTGCATGAGCTTCTGATAGAAAATAAAAACTCTAGGATTAGAAAAGCATCTTTCTGTTGCACCTTGACAATTGCTGACTTAGACATGGAGTTCCTGGAAGTTCTCCTGGAGGGTCTCAACCGTGTTCTGCTGGTGCGAGGAGGTGGCCGAGAAGTCATCACAATCTACTCTTAGTGAAGTGATGGGAGGGAGAGTTTTTATGAAAACTTCCAACAGGCTTGTTGCCATGGATACTTGTGTTCAGATAATTGTTATGGAAAGACCTCAATTTGATTTGAATGACTGTTGACTGACTAAACACCGTGATGAGGGAGGGGACTGGCATTGAGTCCGTGATTGGCTGAACACAATGTGTCCATGCTGAGCCTCAGAACCCCTTCATGATTTTGGGATTGTTTAAATCTGTTACTCAATATGAAAGCTGTTCAGCCCTTTTCTTTCCAACTTTATGTTCTTTCCCTTGTGTTGATGTTGCCATGTTAGTGGTGCTTACATAGTAAAGGCCAGTATGGTCAGCAATGAGGGGGTGAATGCGTGTGATTAGTTTGAAATCTTGTAGTTATTTTGGTAGTATTCAGTTCTGGACTGTAGAAAAACCTGCACAGAGAATACGGTTAGGAAGTTGTTGAAAAACCTACTTTTTCCTGTCTTTGCAGCTGAAAAGTGAAAAAGTCAGAGGGCATTTAGTTGAGCTGTGGTGGTGTTTGGCAGCGCTCCAATCATACATGTTGTATAGAATGTTTGGTTTCTAAGCTGCCTGGGGTTCATCTTACATACGTAGAGACGGACAGGTCCAGCTGGATCTGCTTTAATAGGACAAATAGCCATACCTAACATTTTGCTCTAAACACACACACACACACACACATGTTTCTGGTATCTGCCAAAGTGTTTGGTTGGAAAAAAATAATTGATTTTAAATATTGTTTTTATTTATTTTTTTTACTCCAGTGGCTGTTTGACAGCTTCACACAGAAAACTGGCCACCTAGAAGGGTTGCTTATGAAATTTCTTATTACCCTTCCCCATACTGTTCTTCTGATGACAGCACTATTCGTTTTGCACAATTGGTCTTTCAGCACTTGCTTCCTTGTGCTCTTCATTTGGTTTTTAAGCTGTCAGGATTTGTTTGTCAGTGTCTGATGTTTCCACCGTTTGGATTAGTCGTGTTTTATTGTTTTCATTTTGCTTTTGTCAGCAAAAGCCTGTATTTGAGTCTCAGACGGCTAAGATGAACTGTTTTAGGAGGAAAAGTGCCTAAAGACACTGTGGACGTATGACAGAAGCATCTGAGAGCATGGTAGGTCTATTAAACTTTTTAAACGTCATATTTTATTTCCCTTTTGATGATGACATCATTTGTACCACAGTTATTTAAAATAAATTACCAAGACAGAAAAACAACTTAATGTAGGGGTATTTTAATCCATCTGATGAGTGCTACAGATAGTCAGCCAAACGAGAATGTTTAGTGCTCCTGCTTATGTCTTCATCCACAGTTTCATCCCCTACTTAGATGTGCAGAAAATAAAGTTGTGTTCTCCTGCTGCTGGGAGGGACATGACAGCTGAACTACAGTGATGGAATTTGTGTGTGTGTGTGTGTGTGTGTGTGTGTGTGTGTGTGTGTGTGTGTGTGTGTGTGTGTGTGTCGTGTTCAACGTCTGCCTGTCACACTTTACAGCTCTTTTCTCTAGTGTTTCTTACATTAACTGATGTTCTGTTACGTTCATGTGTTCATTTTGAGAAGGAGTTTAATGGAAGGAGGAAATGAGAGGTGGATTGTGTAAGGATGGCAATGTTTGTCAAATGCAATGTTTGTCAAATGTTTTATTTATTTATTTTGCCCGACCCTCAAGAAAGGCCACATGGAGAGCTGCTCATCACACAAAGGCACCTGGAACAAAGATGTTCACTACATGAAGTTCAGTGTTACTGTTTCATTTAGTCACCAGGACTAATACACACACTTACTACTATCTCATTTTGTTTTCAGGCATTTGAAAGTTGTACTGGTGATTTAATAAAGAAGGATTTGTTGTCTTTGATGTGGTTACTGAACTTTGTCCAAAAACAACCTCTGAATGATAATGCATTTTATCGCTCCTTTCTGAGTCAAAGGACTCCAAAGCACTTTACACTAGTCAGTCATTCATCCATTCACACTCTGGTCCAACATACTTGATTCAGTAGTTGAATCACCTGTGCAGCAGTTCACCAGGCTCTGCAGAAGCCTGTTAATCACCTGCTGATTGAAATCAGGTGCATTAAAACAGAGTTAAAACCAAAACATATTGGACACTGGCCCTCCAGGACCAGGATTGGGCACCCCTGCGCTAAAGTCTAACATATTATTTTCTGCTGATAGTTTTTAAATCACTCTTGATGTGGTTAAAACATGGCAGCTGAGATGGCTTGCAGAGTTGTAGGAACCTCTGGCTAAGAGTGGACATAATGCACCACATCCTCCACAAGTTTCATACAGATCTGATGTGGCATATCAGAATAAAACGCAATTTCACAAAATGACAATTTTCACTTGACAAAATGTCACTTTTTACCAAATTAAATGGTAAATTTATCAAAAATCCCTCTGATTGTGCAAAACCATTCCACCTTTGGCTAAGAGGGAACATCATACACTACATCCTCCACACGTTTCATACAAATCTGATGCAGCATTTCAAAATTAAATGCAATCAAATCTAGATAAATAGCATTTCTTGCAGAAATGCTGTTTGAATGCTGGGTAGCTGAAACCGTAAGCTGAAGCTGCCGAATAGAAGCCTAGTGACCTAGACCAAATTCAAAATGCTCCATTGGAACCTCTGCAGCTCCTAGCAGCATTCTGGCTGGCCAATCATAGCTCTCTACAGAGGTTTCAAACACATAGAGTTGTGCTTGGGCCATAATGGTGGGTCAAGTGCTCTTATCTGCTTAGTGAACCAATCACAGCGCTTTACCTGCTTTGTGGGCCCATCAGGGCCCTCTATTTGTCTGGTGGGTGAGATGATGCAACAGAGTGAAATAAGATTGACAGCTCATTTGAAACGGATTTTACATTAGTTTTGGACTATTTGGACTTGGGTTTTATTAGAATCAAGAGCATATAGATGTATTTAAGTTCTTTATTTAGAAAAAATAATGTATTTTCGCCTTCTTTAACAACGAATAGCCTCGTTAACTGACATCCGTTTCGAATGCAGACTAACATCAAGTCTGACAGCCGAGGCATCCAACATGAGAGCTACACATCTACATTTAGCCTGGTCCTTCTGGCATCTTCTCTCCAGCACCATCTTGTTCAGGCCAGGCTCGCCATCCACCAATCACGGCCTCCTGTAAAATAACAGAGACACATTTATTTAAAATATTTACATCAGTAATTTCCAAAAGTTAAACTGAACAACATTAGGACAACCTTGGTAATGTGGATGGGAGGGGCACACAGAGTCTCTCTGAGGTGTGTGTGTGTGTGTCCAGTATTATATGATGTTTAAATGCTTACATCATCAGGCTGAGGCTGGAGTCTCTGGGGAATCAGGAGGTCACTGACAGGCTCTCATCAGCTCCTCTGTAGGTGGATGTAGAAGTGTGCTTTTCGGGATAAAATGAAGAAGCATAACATTTGAAAATGATATAACGTTCATATTACACATCTGTTCCACAAAAATAAACAATCAATGATGAACAAGAGTCCTGCTGAAAAGGGATACACAGCAATACAACACAAGCAAGCTATCACTGCGTCAACTTGATGAAGAAATATAAAATCAACATTGTTTTACTAATAATCACACAAAAATAAATCAGTGTGTTTAGTGCCAACCACAGCCTTAAGACGTGTTGAACGTGCCCAAGTCCATACTTATGAGGGCACCATGTGAGCACCTGTGTGTGTACACGCGCTTGTATATGTAAGGTGCCTATAGGAGCATCCAATAGAGAGTGTAAGGGGCTACAGATCTGCCCCCCAAAGATGTGTAGGAGATGGAGCTCCAAGTCCCAGAGATCCAAGAGCTGCCCCAGAGCACAGGGACCCCAAGGAAACTTCGACCAGAAAAGCCCCCGCCCCCCTCGAGAGGCGCAGAGGATTGCCCCAGGGGGCCACAACCAGCAGCCGGGAGATATCAGCGGCAAGCCCGCCTGCAGCCTCCCACCCCCCAACCGGCCGGGACCCAGGGGCGACCACCCCCGCCGGGGACCCAGCAGAGCCCAGGGACCCAGATCCCACCAGGCAGCCACCGGGATTGATCAGGCAGACGCCAAAAATCTTAAACCCCTGACCCTGGAGCCACGAACACTCAGGCAGACCAAGGCACTGCACTCCACACCAGGTGTGGCAGGGGGAGGGGAGACGAAGATGTATAGCATCAAAAGAAGTCCCAGGAGAAGGGAGGAGTCAAAGGCCCCACCTGACATATACAGTCATACACTGACTGTGACAGCAGTGTCTGTCACCTCAGGGATATTGTCTTCTGGTAATGTTTGTTTTCTGTGTTCTGTCCAGGATGACTGATTGATGCGCACACAATCAGTCTTCTGTTTATGAATGCATGTGTTAATTTTGTACTTCTATTTGAGTTACCAGTGACTTGGAGTTGCCCATGGAGTCTCACACCTGCAGCTCATCTCCTCAGGAAGCCTAATCAGCACTGCTGGGATCTACCTACTCCCAAGGGAGGGGAGATTCATGTTTATGCTTATGTTTAATTTAATGTAGATATTTTCTGTTATGAATAGGGAGGGAGTTTGTCATTATGATTTAGTTATTTGAGTTACCTGAATTGATTAGACTGGTTAGTTTGTGTGTGTGAGGATGTGTGTGTTAATTGTATGTTAATTGTTCCCCTCTTGTTTGTAGGGTGGTCTGATCAGCCACTATTTAAGTTGAACCTGGTGGGTCTGAAAGGGGATAATGTGTGTCTTGTGCTGGTGCCATTCTGACTAAAATTGAATAGGTTAAGTTCATGTTAATTTTGAAGCTTCTCCAAAATAAAATGGAGTTTTCAGACTCATCAGCAGTGCTTCTCTGGCTGGTTTGTGCAAGTCCCTGACACTGACACAGTCACACACTCCTTCCCTCATGCTCACACATACAACCAAAGACTTACAAAAATGCATGCCGGACACCCACTGATGCTCCCCATACACACCCTATTCAATCTGGTCCCGGTACTGCTGCACATGGGGCACAACCAGACGGCCAGATCTCCCTCCTAGCCTCCAGCCCCGGGAATAAATGATTAATAAAGTCTGTTAGCCTTCTTGGTCAGGAGACCACCGACAGCAAACATGAAGCTAACTTTAGCTGGCTAAGACGTGCTGGTGGACACTCTTACAGTACAGTAATATATTTATAAAACACAAACGATAAAAATGCTCAAACTTACTTGAGACCAGGGCTCGGGGGATTACCTTCCAATACAGTCCAGGGCATGCACGTGCGGGGGGGCAGAGGGTGCTTGAGCACCTGCCCCTTTTGTTCAAAGTGCCCTTTTTCCGGTCTTCCATCAGATTTTACCGTACAAAACTGTTATGCTGTGATACATATCGACAGAGGTGGAAAGTAACGAATTACATTTACTCACGTTACTGTAATTGAGTAGCTTTTTTGTAAATTTATACTTTTTAAGTCGTTTTTAAAATCTGTACTTTTACTTGAGTAAGTTTTTAAAAAAGAATTGTAATTCGCTACATTTAAATCATATCCGTTACTGAGTAAAAATAAATTAAAGG